TGGATGCGTAGTCGATACCGGATATATCAAAATTGGATATCTCGAACTATTGGCTATGTCGAACAGTTCAGAAATCCCCTTGAAATTCCTATGCAAAAGTATGGGACTGGTTCACCCGTATATCCAACTCCTGCACAATGGGACATCCGCTATATCGAACACTGCGCGGTGCTGAAGCCCAGAATATGCATTTTTCTGAGCAAATATTGATCCATTTGCATGCGCAAGTGAGGAAAAGACGGTATTATTCAATCGTGCTGACCTGGTTCGTTGCGTGGCACTTGCGAGTGCACCGGTGTGTTCGATGCGCGATGTGCAGGTCTCAACGCGCAGGTGTAGTGTTTTTCAAAGACTAATTGCCGAGGACACCCAAATGAAAAAATGCGAAGTGATTCAGCGATTTTGTTGCAATGTTTGCACTTCTCTCCTTGTTTTTTAGCACACAATGGCACATGGGCGTGAAAAGCACGGCCTTTTGAGATGTGAAAATTTGCGACATATCTTTTGTGATTTCAGTTTTAATACGCACGTCCCAGAGGCTATGCTTCTAGCTTTTCGCATCAAAGCAGCGGCTACCGCTACAAAGCCACAAGTGACATTGATATCGCCAGCATGTTGACGGTGGGAACTCGGCGACCCGGCCTCATGTCTTTTTAACATCGTGGACTTGTGTAGGTCTCACCTAGTTCCTGATAAATCCTCACTTGGGAGTTGAACTGAGCGTTGACAGGCACGTAGCAAGATAAAAATTGACGGCCGCTATGAGCAATGTCAAGTAAAGCAGTGTTGTAAACTTTGCTTGCGGGGCAGGTGACGATTTCGGGTGCGTCATGACCGCAGACAACGGTGTACAGTGCCTCAGTGAATTCTGCGATTTTTCAGTGTTTCTGGGCACTATCTCGGACAGTGAGCAGCTTCATCAGTACAGATGACGACATAGCTGTTTCTGACAGTGAGCAACCTCATCGGTATAGATGACGACATAGCTGTTTCTGACTGCATCAATGCTGAGATCATGGCTGCCACTGTCGGTGCAGCGAAAGTGTAGCCGTGCGGTTATGAAGCCAACGCCCTCGCCGCCGCCACTAACCAACCTTTTGCCGCGCTACAAAGCTTGCATCAGCATTCTGTGTCAATCAACGCTGTTGTGGTCGAAGGAGCTGAATTCACCAATTTTAAAAGCTTCAATGATATTGAAGATGACTAAAACTTCACAGCATGCAAGAAGCAGGACAACTTTACGGACACTTTTCACGTGAAACGAAGTGCGGTAACTTGCTGTTCCCACCTTGTTCTTTATTATCCCATGAGTGAATAGTTATGTTAGCGCTTGTAACGATTTCTGGCAACTGTTTCTGGGCCTTAAATACGTATATATTGGATTTCAAATTATCAATATACAGAACTATTTTGCAATCCCCTTCGAGTTCGATATATACAGGATCGACTGTAGTACATAGCTTGCAAGAAACGTCAGTCTTCAGATTGCTATTAGCTAACACAAGTAGCACATACGTCTCAGTGACCGCACAGGGTCCATGTTCGTGCGGCGGATAGTTGGGCATAGTGCACGTGTTTTGATTGTTTACCTTGTGTATATGACAAATAAGAATTGTTCAGGGCGTTATGCAGCCACGAAGCAGTGCCGAATGAGGAACTCTTGATCTTTTGTGTCTGCAGTGTAAATGTCCATGGTGTCGCACATAATCGATAAAGCACCTTTGCACGAGATAAGAGCTTGCCTATTATGAAGTGATGCCCGCACACACATACGGTGTTCAGTCTTCAGGTCTTTTCTGTTTAAGCTCGCACAAGCCATGTGCTCCCCTTTCCAGACAGCTATTTCATGTGGTCGCACGAGTTTGTGATCACTTTTGACAAAGAGTACGTCCGCGCTTCTGGTCCATTTCATTTACACAAGTCTTCTCATGCGGCAGTCAAATATTGCACCAATTGCCAGTGCGGCGTACACCGTTGACAGAAAATGCAAGAGCTGCACAGATTGATTCTGTCATCTTCTGCCATGTGCTCATTAATGGCAGTGCACATGCAAAGATTGTATCTCAGAGTTATACGGTGTGATGTGCTTGCAAGTTAAGTATCATGAACTACAAATAATACGTACTCATTTTGCGGGATTATCAAGGCCCGTTGAATAGGAAACCCTTTCCTATTCCCATACCAAATCACTAACGCCCCTCTAGAAATAGTACAGTGTTTCAAATATCTAGGTGTCACTCTGTCCGCCGATCTAACTTGGAATGCGCATGTCACAAACATTATCTCATCTGCAAACAAAATATTGGGATTCGTGAAACGTCATCTGCGTTGCGCACCTCAACACGTAAAACTTCTCGCATACACATCCCTCATCAGGCCAAAACTGGAATACGCCTCTGCTATATGGAATCCACCTCAAATTTACCTAATCAATGACCTTGAATCAATTCAAAATCGCTCAGTCCGATTCATACATTCGTCATATTCTTATGACATCAGTGTTTCATCCTTAAAAGCCCAATCTGGATTGCAGCCACTTGCCCTTCGACGCCGCATAGCCACTCTTTCCCTGTTTCATAAGCTGTTTCATTCGCCCCTCAACCATCCTCCATACGTCATCCCTCCCGACGTACATTTCGCACCGCACCAGCCACCCCCTCCAAGTCTCCCGTTACCGCACTAGGACTGCTACCTTCTCCGCATCCTTCTTTCCGCGTGCTGTGAAGGACTGGAACGACCTCCCAAACCACGTCGTCACAATCACCTGCCCATCAACTTTCGCTAAAAATGTAATAACTCATCTCTGTCAGTGAAACTTTATGGCAATGTATATACCCACACCTATGTAGCATATTTTATATTTTGAATGTAGCAAAAGTTTTATATCCTGTATATCAGCCCCTTATGTGGCAAATGTTTTTTATATCCTGTACATCCACCCCTTATGTAATACCCCCTTGTGGGGTCTTTAAGGAAATAAAATATGATGATATGATGATGATGATAACGAAAGTAGACTGTATGTTCCCTTTTGTACCCTGGTGGTATGTGCCAAATGACACTAATGCAAACAACTTATCTTTACTGACAGCGATTTTTTAAACTTCGCAGCCGACTCGGGAATCAAGCTATTATATCAATTCAAGCCACCCCTCGCCCATATTGTTTGCATCCTATGCTACACTTCTATCGCCCCAATCAGAAACGAACAAAGAACGAAGCAGCCTCATTCTTCATCTTGGCAACAGCCACTGCAGAAATACCTGTTCGGTTTTTCGTAAGCTGCACCGGTTTCGGTTTTTGTAATATGTAGCGATGGATGGAAGCTGGTGCTGTGCTGAAGGTTCCAAAAAAAAAAAAAAAAAAAAAAAAAGAGCAACGTACGCCAGGTGTTCGTTGCTTAAAGATTCACAGTATGCCAGTGTATTGCACCAATTTAAATGAGGAGCAATGAATTAAGACCTAAACTAAACCTTCTTTTACAATCAAAAACAGACTAGAGGACTGTCACGTGGACATCACTTCAGCAGAACAAAAAACATCCCCACAATAAAAATGCAAAGCAAGGTATCAGCGAAAAGAGAATATGCGGCTATTAAAATAAGTGAGAAATTGGAATCGTACATAGGCTTCATCCAAAAACCTCAAGGTTGCCCTAAAGGGTCATCATTCTCCCAACAGCAGCATCACTTGAAGGCAGCTTGCTAGCACTGACCACTGATTCTGCCACGAAGGTCTACGTTGAATTTATCACTGTTAAAGACTTGGTGAGTAATTTGCCTTTAGAATTGGCAGATATCCACAGGCGATTATTTGTACTCGAATTATTGTTTCAACTTTGTCGTGCTGCAACTAGAGTTCTCTCCTTATTGTATTGCACCACTTTCTGCAAATTAATTTTTTATGAATGCTAGTACATTTATTTCTATTTAATACATTAACATTACAAAAGGTGAGAAAAACTAGAAGTTTGCATGGTGCCTGATATATTTGCTCACATAATGCTAGCAGTGTTCAGTATTAAAACAGAGGTCTCAAACACACGACCCGTGATCTCTTTTTAGGCTGCCAGCGGCTTCAGGGAATAAAATGTTCGTAATTAACTCTGCAACACTCATATTGTTCAATCCCTCATTGGAATACCACTCTGTTCAGATTAGCTACAGAGATGGGACTGGTCTCAAGCATTACTTTTGTAAGAAACCCCATGTATTAAAGCGCAATTGCGGAATGAAATATTTACATTTTGCAATCAGCATTTAGATTAGAATTATTCTGCCTGGCGATCAATATCACCACGTTTCGAAAACGATGTCAAAACATCTTCAGAGATTATCTATACACAAGACATGGACAATGCACTTTTTAAAATCGCAGCATCACGTAACATTTCACCCCTCCCTCCCCCACTTCCACTTCAACCTTCTTCACTTGCAGAACCAAATTTTGTGGCCAGCTCACAAGCAGAGCAGAGTTTGAAACCCCCATATTAAATGTGCACTAAACGGAAAAAACAATCATATAAGTAAATTACTCTTGCAATTTTAAAACCACCACTCTTGCCACGAGAACAAACTTGAGAAGAGGAAAAATGTACAAAAAAAAAAAGAAGTTTAGTCGCCTAAATCCACAATGTCACAATAATTTGAATGGGAACATTGAAGTGTTGCAAACGTCTGCAGTTTCTTTTGGTGCATTTTTTTCGTTTACCAAATGTCTTCTTAGGGCAAGAGCGGTGCTTTCGGTATAGGAAAGAAGTGACTCGCCAATACGAAAAAAAAAAAAAAAAAGACGCTTTTACCTGTGGTGTTCAGTCCACTATTTCTAGAAGTGTTTCATCCCATGTGAATCCAATTCAGTTTCAATGTCGTACCAACTAGCCCCCCCCCCCCCCCCCCATTATCTTGCTTTTTAGTGTCCCTTTAACACTCCGGGGCAAGCATCCTCTGTACAATTACGTATCATCCCACGAACACACACACTCATAAAAAGTGACTAACCTCTCCTGGTTCCGGAGCATTATCTTGGTTGCCACTGAACTCATCCGCATCTTCTGCATCCACAGAGTGGTTCACATTCAAGTGGACTGTGATCCTAAAAGAAAAGCATTTGACCATGACATAATATAGTCACTGGCACAAAAAAAGAATGACATAACACTAAAAGGGCAATACAAATAACTGTGCTAATCCGCGGATTACCTGCATGCAGGCACATGCCAAACGGTCTCCTAGGAGAAAGCTCGATTCTCTTCAACCACGGCCTCTGGGCTCACCTAAGCGCACTGCCAGCAGACCGGTTTGAGAGTATCAACAACATGGAGGCCAACATAACGTTAACATTGAGTATTGTCACGGATCATAATTTGTTTTGGTGGAAATCAGTTTGGCAGAATCGATGGATGGAAAGAAAAACCTGCTGTACTGAGAGCTGCTGATGACTGACCGTGTTGCTGTAGTATGCAGTGCCCCACTTACAAATAAAGCAGGATACAAATATTGACAGGTACTGTTTTTGCAAATGACAAGTAGCGACACTGCACTGCTGCACATTACGCTTCATTCTCTTAGCTTGCATTTGAACCCCGGCGTTCAAACATGGGTCATGTTTGGCCTCCCATTGAATTCTGCGTGTGCAATGATTAAAGGAATAACACACCTGCTTCTTTCCAACTTGCAAATCAGAGCACATTAAAATTGATAAATTTCTTATAGATGACCATCTTAGAATACGGCCCCGAAAATTAACTAAACTAAGTGTTAACCGAGGCAAAATTAACTGCAAAGACAGCAGTGCGGCTCAAGCAGAAGAAAAGTGTGCTGCTTTCCAGCCTGTTCGATTGCTAATGGTGCGACATTCCTTTGCCACAACACTGATGTGAAAACCAAGTTGAGCTCATCCATCTGCAAGCCATGCAAACAAAGCACGAATGAGAAGAATTGCTGATGTGAGTATGTCATGTGGTGCTTGTGAGAATGCCGGTGAAGTGAGGATGACAGATGACCATGCCGTTGAGCCATCATGACAGACACAGGAAAGGAAAGAAGAGACACGCGAGAACCCCGAGAAAAAGAAAACAGAGAAGTGGAGGAGAAGAGCAGAGAACGGCAGAAGAAGCAGCCATGAAGAGAAGAGATCCCGGCTCCTGCCAATGCTCTCTGTCCTGGAGTTAATGGCACTAAACGGTGTGGGGTCTCGATGATTGATACATAACTCATTATGTAATACGCTAGGACATCCGCTCCATAACATTACCATACACTCCATGACAAACACGCTAACACACCCCAGGCAACGTCGCCAACGCTTGGCTTACTATGTGGCCCCCCCCCGGAGCGCAGGCCCGTGGTGCCACATGCCGAGGACCCACGCTAGAGACAACTGTTCGCGGCAGCCGCCACGCGCAAAAGAGACACACTCAACTCTCGCCCCCCACCAAGGCTCGTTTCCGCCAGTGGTCATTGCCGGCGCTACCCCATGATGATGATGACAATAGTGGTGCTCAACGCGAATATAACGCCACCTATCGCCTGGCGGCCGTCACCCGAAATGCGGCTTTGGGGCGACACACGTGCGCCACACGGCGCAAACAACTTTACAGGTGGTGTCAGCACCCCCCCAACGGTAGACACAAGTTCGTAACTTGTCTGATAGTGTAAATCATGCTGTCATGCTGCAGTGCACGTACACTATCCATTCTGAGCACTCGGATCTAGTCACTTGACTTCCAATGGAGCTTTGAACACCACAGCAATGACTCCTGCCTAATGCACGGTGATGTGTGCTGCCCAGCTTTCTTTTCTGTGCATATGTAAACTGTGAAGAGTTCAGATACTACCTCTTACCATTTTGTGTAGGATGCGAGTGGTGTGTTAGTGCATATTGTCGCGCCTGAGATGCCCCGACTAAGAAATGCATTCGCATTGAAAAGTATTCAATCGATGTCAGTGAAACTGTGTGCATGAGCTACAATAAGTCAGAAAAAAGTCAGAGCTAAAAAATTGCTGTTTCATAAAAAGTGAAGCTATGAAAAGATTACACAACAATCTGAAGCCTCTGTGGCCTTGTGCATGCAGTATTTTTTTTTACAACTTTATAAAAAATGTAACATCTCTTCAGTTCAGATGTAAGTACAATAACACGGCTGAATATCGTTACATTCTTTTCAGTAATTGCAGAGAAAACGTACATTGAATAGGTGAACACCCTTTAAAGATTAGGAGTGGGCCATAGGAAGGGTGGCAACCTAGGCATAAAGAAAGGGTGTCACTTGATCCCAGTGGCATTTTTTGTGAGCACACAAAATTTTATGAGAATATTTGCAGCTGTTTCCAACATATTAGACTAAAACTAATATATACAATTAAACCTACCATACCCAACTAACCATGGTTCACTGCACCTACTTTTTCTGCAAATGCTATGGGAATGCAATGAAGGATTCGATGAACATACACTTGGTAGGAAAGAATCATTAAATAAAAATATGAAGACACTGACTACAAGAGAATAAAAATGTGTTGACGTTGGGGGACTAATATTAAAATCCATGCTCACAATGTTATGATTGTGAACAAGGCTGAAGTTCTGGGTGCCAAAACACCAACCACAGGGATGATGATGAGCGTTTCGCAGCAGGTATTGTGGCAGGGAAAGTGATTTGCAGCACGAGTTCAGTTCCAAAACAGAGCGCAATAAAAACGGAGGACACAAGAGGCAAAGTGCTCTTTTGCCTTCGTTTACATAGCAGACTAGTAAAATTTTAAACATGCTCTAACGATGCTCTAAGGATAACGCCACTTGAGCACCTTTCTCTATATGCCTTCTGCACAGTATATGTCCCCTTGCCACAGCTAGCCAAATGGAGATCGAAAGCCAAGCCCCTTGCCACAGCTAGCCAAATGGAGATCGAAAGCCAAGAGCCCTGTTGCAGCAGCTCAAATGGCCGTAGCACAAACTTGAAAACACAAGAGTGGGCAGTCCAGGGGGCCCCAAGAGGCGGCGATGAGGCAAGGCCTCAAAGTTCCCTCATGGGAGACCTGAGCCTGGGTTCTTAAACAACATTGGACTACAATCAAGTTGTTTTCATCACATCGTTGTAACTACACTAACTTAGACAAAATTATAATAAATGGCACACACCACATGTACCTTTCAAGAAACCTTTCAGCTGAAGAAATAAAAAATTGTCATACCATGCCTTTCATCTAGGATGCTGCTGCTAGTCTATACAACATAGTAGTTTTTTGTGGCATATTTAACAGCTTGTTTTTTCACATGTCAAAGTGCAAAAAATGAAATTGTCAAAAGATATGGGCATTAAGCACACAATGAACTTATGCATGACATATCTTGCCGCGCTGAAGTTTTTTGAAGGGCTTGCACTAGTTGCAGGGGTCTAGGCGACATCTGCCTTCACAATTGTAAAGCTGTCGCCAGACTTTCTTAATTTTCACCACTGTAATGAATTTAGGATGTCTCTGCGGTCTTCTGCTTAATGAGCATAGCCATGCAGCTCATCCCTTCATTTCTCTCATTCCTAAACATTGTGTCTCTCTACAATGTCGTCTATAAAGGTCATCTTTGGGGACTCCTCACAGTTTACAACAGTTTATGATATGCATGTTTTGCAGTGAACTCTTTTTTTTTTTTTTTCATATTGAATGGCATACACCTTCTTGATGTACCGGTAGAAGGTAGTCATAGGACTACACGAGCATACGACTGACAGGAGGTGGAGGACAAGATTTTGATGCATTTACGAAGTTTGTTCCAGTTTGGCGATAAAGACACGAGCAAGTTTTTAGATGCTTACTCATTAGATGCACATGGTTAGAAATAAAGATACAGTCGCCCAAATATTTAACTATCGTACACGAGCGGCCATTTTCATGTGCATCAGCACCATCGATGGAGCCAAGTTGCAAACAGGGTAAGGATAAGTGCATGCCCAGAAAGTGCGCTCAGCTCTGCTGCTAGTCTGCTTGGCTATACCTTCTTCAGGACGTAATGACTGGCGCATGGCACGTGTAGTGCCGGTGTTTAAGAAAGGGGATCGTTTAAACATTGCAAACTACAGGCCTATTTCCTTAACGTGTACGTCATGTAAGCTATTAGAACACATAGTCGCACATTACATCACAACATTTCTTGAAGAAAACCGCCTGCTGTCGCCATTACAGCACGGATTTAGAAAAAAAGTATCGACCACAACGCAGCTAGTTACAACAATTCATGAGTTTACGTCGTCGCTGGATACGGGGAATCAAACTAATGCTATTTTTTTAGATTTTAGTAAAGCTTTTGATCTTGTCACGCATAGCAAACTCATTTCTAAATTATATGTCCTAGGTCTACCTGTTAACCTCATTGACTGGATCCGTTCTTACCTTCAAAATCGCAAGCAGTATGTTAAAGTAAATGACTGCATGTCTGGTATTCTACCAGTGTCATCAGGAGTTCCTCAAGGTAGTGTTTTGGAACCTATTCTCTTTCTGGTATATATAAATGACATTGTTGAATCAATAGACACATCACAAGTCCACATAAAGCTTTTTGCAGATGACTGCATACTTTATAAAACGATTACTGCTCCGAATGACCAGAAGTGCCTGCAATCAACCTTTGTGCTATTTCTAAATGGTGTGAAGATTGGTCAATGAAATTAAATAGCGATAAATCAGTTGTCATGCATATAACAAATAAGAAACACCGTTTAAATTATACTTATTCTCTCAACAACTGTCCATTGACTGAGGTTAACGAATATAAATATTTGGGCGTCACAATTACAAGCCACCTAACATGGTCAAGCCACATTAATAAAACATGCTCATCTGCTTCTAGAAAGCTTGGTTTTTTGAGACACAAATTAAAAACAGCACCCCCAGAAATCAAAATGTTGGCCTACAATGCTTTTATAAGACCAAAGTTAGATTATGCTAGTGTCGTTTGGGACCCACATATAAAGAAAGATGTTAAGAAGCTTGAGATGGTGCAGCGAAAGGCGGTTCGCTTTATCTTTAATGCCTACCGCAGAAATGACTCGCTAACAACGCTCGTGGCTAATAATGATATCCCCACTTTACAATACCGAAGAGCTGTTGCCCGGCTGAAATTTCTACACTCACTTTATTTCCGCAAATTTAACATTTGTCCAGAAACTTATATAAGAAATCGAATACTCGACATACTCACAGCTACACTCTTGAACCTTACTTCGCACGTACTAATATTTTCATGAACTCATTCTTTCCTCGGACGATCAATGATTGGAACGCGTTACCTTTTGAAGCATTCTGTGATAATGAAAATCCTGACTTCGATAACTTTGTATCTTTCCGTTTTTAACCGTACAACTCAAGATCTCTGACTGTCTCACGTTGTATTTGATTTGCATTCTCCGGTTTCAATTTGCAATTTCTTGCTGCCATTTAACTTTGTTCAAATGCTATCCTGTGTTCTACAGCCTTAACATGTTTTTATTGCTTGAACTTTCTTTTATTTAGTTACATTGTGAATCACTTTTTGTTATGCCCCCCTGCTTGGTCTTTCGACCGCAGTATTCTGTAAATAAATAAATAAATAAAATAAAAAATCCCATATCAGCACATTTCAGACGAGAAAAAGTGGCTAGTACTTCTTGCTGTGCCTTGTGGGGTTTTATAAGCCTACTTCAGTCTCTTGTGACACAATAATATCAAACCACCAAAATACATTAAAAAAACTGTAGGGTGATTATTTAACACACTTTCTTGCGTAGTGCACAAGTTGCAAAAATGAGCAAGCATAGCTTTTGGACACATTGTCAGCTTAAATAGAGCCCTTCAAAAGCTCTTCTGGTCACAAAACTAAGCCTTCTGCATAAGACTGCGACACCTTAGTACAACCATTCAAAGAGGGCATGTGCACATTAAAAGAAAAGTTTTTTTTCATACATAGCCCTGTCCCTATTTACATTTTCAGGGCTACCAATGAAGTACAGGGCGTATGCACTGAGTGTTGATCCTCAAGGTGGCCACACCATCATTGCACCATTCAGTTCACACGTGCCATCAATGTTGTCCATATGTCGGTGTGCGACAGGTGTTCTAGAGGTCTCTAGTCAATCAAGTCGCTGTACAGCTCTCCGAGACCGCTTGTGCGGTGAGAGCACAGCTTTTAAGATGGCAGCCTCTACACTAGCGCTCCTTGCGGAAGACGTCCAGTGCATACCATTTACACATACGCGATAGGCAGCGCTGGTGGCAGCACATAATAATGCAGAACATAACCAGACACACCCAAAGTTAAAATTGCAGTGATTTACATGATTTAGTGAACTGCCAGTTAGAACATAGCCAGTGAGATAACCATCAAGTCACAGCACTCTTCCTACATTGTTTTGAGGAAAATGCAGATGCAAATGAAAATTTTTACGATAGCTTTGTAGGCGTCCAAAACCCCACAAGTTGTCACTACCACTTTGGCCATTACAATCAATAGCTACAGTAATCTATGAAACATTAATAGCAAGAAGTTGTGGATGTACCAAAATCCTCTATCAATGTGATTGGTTTTGCATAACAGCTGTGTTTTGGTCGTTGCTAATGAGGCTGCATTCTGGGTTGATGAAGCCATGGTGCAGTTACAACCACAGGAGCATGAAGGTGTGTTTGCCAGTGATCAGAAGTGGGCCAAATAAGAAACTGGTTGCTTCCATTTTGATACAAAGCGTCTTTGGTGCGAAGTAATTTCACACAAATGATAAACAGAAGACGGCCATGCCGCACTGTTGCAAAGAGGAATGATGCTAAAGTCCTGGCCCTCGCACACAGCAACTCTCACTACATGTGGGCTTCTGGGAAACTTTGTTGAGCAATGTAAACAGGTACTCCGCTATCCGTTAAATATAGCTATGTTAAGCTTCACTCACGTTTCTCGATTGAAGGACCGCGTCAAGGTGACCTCAGATCCCTCAGTTTTAACATCAAACCCTTCGATCTTGGGAACCTGCGCGGACTTCCTTGCCTTCTTCTCGGCTTCTATTTCTTCCACGAGAAAGTCGGCAAGCTCTTGGTCCCCTGCAAAGACGATAAGAGGAGTCATTGGGGCTTGATGATGAAATAATTTGCACAAAGAAGAAAGTGCACACCGAGAAAGGGAAACAGGGTAGCCCGTCACTGTCCTTGCTCTGTGGGGGCGCTTTCCTTTGAACAAATACTCCACAGAAAGATAGAAATACGGAGGAGCCCGCTTTTGTTGGAAAGTCATAGAAACCAACAAGCAATGAAGGTCCGTCGTTTCTGGCTGAAACGTAGCACATGATGCGCCTAGCAAAGTTCAAGGGCCGAGGAGCCCACGCGGTTGCCTCTACGCGTTCTCTTATACTCTTCCCGTTTTCTTCAAGTTAGCGGCCACACCCAAAGAGAATACAGAGTAACACACGACCTCGAATACGCGACCCGTTCGTGCGCCTCTTCGGTAAATTTTCTTAATGTTTGCGGGGAGAAGCAACACTTTTTATCGACACAGTGAGCGGGCGGCCAAGTTCGAATGCGTGATACGGGTACAGAGAACCAGATTCCAACAAAAACGCGACATGTTCGCAAGTCACCTTTGGTACTCGCTTGGCTGTAGCTGCAGACCACTGTTCGGACGGGGCTTGATCTTACAGCGTGCCGGCAAGTGCGGGACAAAGCTGAACTGGACATGGACTTGGAGCCGGGCAGCTCGTGCTTCAGAGCCCGTAGCATAGCACTGGATCGTGCCGGTTTCAGGCAGATTCGAGACACGGATCCAATAAAACTTGTCGCCATGACTTTTACCTTTAAGCGAAACACCAAGGTACGTACAAACCAGCTTCGATAAGCCTAAGGCAAACCAAACCGCCTGCACGCACGCGAATGAAGTAGAACACGCCACAGAAAACGTGCTCCGCGATTTCCGGCGGATCCGCGCCCGTGATTTCCGTTCCAATCACGTGATTGGCGCATTGTTGCTCGATGAACGCGCCGGCTAGCAACGTTTATAGATACTCTTTAAATGCATTTCTTAGCGAGCTTGGCCCTCTTTTACTTTTTTTTTTAATTGCGAAGCATTCTAGGCAAACTTCGGCGACTTTGATCTTATCTATCTATCTATCTATCTATCTATCTATCTATCTATCTATCTATCTATCTATCTATCTATCTATCTATCTATCTATCTATCTATCTATCTATCTATCTATCTATCTATCTATCTATCTATCTATCTATCCGCCTACGACTTTCAGCTCTCCTGGCCGTTTCAATAATGGTGTCGATATTAAACTTGGCATGGCATAACATGACTGTATGAAGAACATATTTGACTAGCCATAACATGAAAATTATGACATGTATGTTATGAATGTCGTGATTTACATTTCATGGAAAACGAAATATATGACTGCTGCAAACAGGATAATCCTGACACGCTTGTCATGTAAGAACATGACAACATACCACGCTCGTAGCGCGCTCGCGGCCGTTTCGCTAGCTCCACATATACTAAATTTGGTATCACGTGACGTGAATAGATGACGAAGGTAAACGACACATCCAAACATGATAATCATGACACGAAGGTCATGTACGGCATCATTTACTTCCACCTCGTAACATTGTGCTGTTTTTAAAGTGACATATCAACATTTCTAATTCGTGCTTCGCATATCATCGATTCCCATTGTACGTGGGATCTGCCATTATTTTTTAGTCTTCGAACTCCTCGTTTCGAGGCGAGCGCGATTCGCTCCTAGGATGTGTGAGGGCGCTGAAGTCTAACTTTGCGGGAAGCAGCCAAGTATAACGTGTTCTGTGGTATAACCGGCTGCTTCCCGCTGGTTTCATTACCGATGCAGTTTCGTCTGGTAGGTGTTCTGTGGTTTCGTGCGTTCCGTGCGTTCCGTGCTGGTGTTCGGTCGCAATTTTGTGTGTGTGTGTGTGTGTGTGTGTGTGTGTGTGTGTGTGTGTGTGTGTGTGTGTGTGTGTGTGTGTGTGTGTGTGTGTGTGTGTGTGTGTGTGTGTGTGTGTGTGTGTGTGTGTGTGTGTGTGTGTGTGTGTGTGTGTGTGTGTGTGTGTGTGTGTGTGTGTGTGTGTGTGGTTGTGTGTGTGTCTTGTCGCATGGCATGCTTCCACGGTCTTCTGAAAACAATTCGACGCCTACAGTCACGAAAATACTCAGACTTCCACGACGTAGGAAACTCTCCGATTGTTGACATCGCCGGCACGATCTGAGCATTGACCACGTGTGGACGCACCGAGCACGTGTGTACGTCTCCAGAGGTTAATTCTACTGTTGCTGCTATCCCGTGCGACATAGCTCAGACCCTTCGGACATCGTAACAATGTGTTTTGTGACCGGGCGCATCAGCGGGTAGAGGAAAAGCCCTTAAAAACGCCACTTCTCCCCGCCGTCCGACCCGCACTGTTACTGCAGAAGTGGGAAAGATCCATAGGAAAGCCTGGGAAAGACGCGCAACGTGGACGATGTTTACTTTCAAGAAAGCGACATCCTGAATTCATATAGGCATATCATAAATGGAGAAGTCTAAACCGACCAAGCTGCATGGGCAAGGAGGAGTGATGAAGTTCCTCGATTATTTCCGAATTTTCCAGTTTAATTGTAATGAGGCCGCAAAATAAAGGGTACCTGTACAACAACCAACTGCTGCCTTGCGATCTGCCTGCAGAATAATGCCGGCAAGAGGTTCCCGCTACTTCGGAGGACTCCAGTTTTTCTGAGCGACTAAAAAAAAAGTGTGCCTCAACTTCCCTGCAACTAGAGTTCGACGGTCCCTGAGGAGGCGGAAAAACCTCCGGTAATAACCTTCTATAACGCAAAATTCACAGAATACATCTACTGGCACAGCGGAAGGAGGAAGCGCACCACTAAGAAATATTCATTTCAAGGACTGTGTGGGCATGACTGGTACAAACAGACGTATGTGTGTCTTGTGTCATTTTAGCGGTTACAATGAAAAAAAAACAGAAGGGCAAAAACAACCCAGAACAATGCGAAGATCGCAACCAGCGAATTGAGGAAACGCATGGTCTGTGCCACCGTCACCCGAGAATGGAGAAAACTTGAGATACGTACGCCGGCTAATTGAAAAAAAAAAAAAAAAAGACTGCGTGCCCAGTGACTCTCACTGATCTAGTTGAAGATTTACCTGAAGTGCTGAAAGTGTCTCTTCATAGTACATCCATCATGCAACAAGCAAAATGACCGAATGGGTATAGGTACACAACAGATAGTCTTATGCTTTGTTTGCCTCTCACAAGCCCGAATAGTTACAGGAATTCAGCCATGCGCTTATTCGAAATGGAAATTAGAATGCTCGTGACTGTGAAAGTGACAACTTTTTTTGTTTAAATACACTGACGCTTTCCTATTTTCGCAAATTTTGCATTTTTTTAATGGTCCTATAAGTATTATCCGCTCAGACACCCATAAATCGGAACACTTCAGAAGAAGAAAGTGCACTGGTTTATATACCAGCTGAACAGAAAAATAACGTCATTTCAGTGGGATTTTAAATGTGACTGATACCTTTCAGCAATGGCTCGGTTTCAACTTCATTTATGGTACGGCCCGCCAAGGCGTTTTTGCTGCGCAAGTTAATGCGCACAGCGTCGAAAATCCCTCTGCTGAGACTCGCAAAATTGCTTAATTCTAAACAACTAAGCTGGAACCAGGTGAGTCACAGCTTTTACCACGGCTTCGATAAGACGTTTGTGATACAAATGAGCTCTAAATTTTGTTTCTACTATCTGGAAGAACAAGAAGCTACAGGGCCGCAAAACGGCTCTTTATTCGACAAATGCTCGTCTGGAACCACTCTACGCGAGCTATTATTTTCACCAAGGACCTGAAAAGATGCCGCACATGCATCTAGGCTCTGTGTTATACTCCTCGTGCATAAACCAAGAAGTTGCGGTGTTGTGTAAGCGCTGCTCACCGGCTGCACCGCACCTAGCTGTAGCAGACGACCCTCGTTTGCTTGGCGCAGTTAGAATTACTGTATATGCTACCTTTAGGTAGCATAAAGGTTGCATATACAGTAACTCTACGCAAAGCTGGCCTGCAGCGCCGCGGTGGCGGAAACTGCAGCCGGCCGCCTGCTCCCCGAAGGCGAAGCGGAGAGTTCCGAAACTTAAAAAGTACCTATAAATGTCGCCGGCTAGCGTGTAACGCTTTGGGAGGAAACCGGCGGGTGACGATGCCACACGTTTGCACGTTTGTTTAACAATGAAGTGCCTTATGCACCTTGATAGACAAAGATATATCAAGAGGCGCAATGGCTCCATTTTCACAACGAGAGTGGGAAAGCGCTGAGAAGAGGGTTCCTAGTAGTACATCAACAGGCCCCGATGACATCCAAATTATGCTGATAAAGGCATTGGGTCCCAAGTCCAAGCAGACTTTGAGAGAGGCAGCGAGCAAAACAATAATCGATCATGAAGTCCCCGATGGATGGAAACTTAGCAGGATGAGCATGATCTCTAATGGAAAGGGGGGACAGAGCTGATATAAACAACTACTGTCCTATAACAGTGACATCAGTGGTCTACAGACTGGTGATGCAGATTGTAAAGGAAAGACTGCAGGCATGGATAGAGGATGAGGGGGTGCTGGGGGAACTGCAGAATGGGTTTCAAAACCAATGGAGGTTGGAAGACAATCTCTTCTCACTGACGCAGTGCATCGAAATAGCTAAAATGAAACACAGGCCCCTGTGGCTAGCATTTTTGGATATCAAGGGAGCGTATGATAGCGTGGTTCAAGAGGACTTGTGGGGAATACTAGACACACTGGGTGTGGAAGATGGAGTCACCGATCTTTTAAAGGAAATCTATAAAAGTAACAAGGTAGTTATAAAATGGGAAAAACAGGTATCTAAAGCCCACAGGGATAAAACGGAGGCTTAGGTGGTACGTGGTGTCGATCCTCTGTCCCCCTTATTATTCATGATGTACCTACAAGGATAAGAGGCAATTACAGGGAAGCGAACTTGGCTTCAACCTCTCTTTCGTCAAACAAGGAAGACACATTGAACAGGCATTACAAGCATTGATGTACGCAGATGATATAGTGCTGATGGCCGACAACAAGGAAGATTTGCAGAGATTGATGGCCATCTGCAGTAATAAGGGAGATTGATTAGATTTCAGATTCAGTTAGAAAAAAATGAGCAGTCATGATTTTTAAGTAATGAAGGTAGTGATCTTAGGATACAGGAGGTCACGCTAGAGATAACAGATAAGTACAAATATTTGGGCGTATAAGCAATGGGACCGAGTACCTAAGGGAACACGAAATATACGTAATGACAAAAGGTAACAGGAATGCAGCGGTGCTGAAAAATAGGGCACTGTGGAATTACAATAGGTATGATGTTGTGAGAGGAATTCGGAAAGGGGTCATGGTTCCTGGTCAGACGTTCAGCAATGTGGTCTTGTGTATGAGATCAGAAGTCCAAGCAAGATTGTAAATTAAACAACGTGGCATTGGTAGGCTTGCTTTAGGAGCTCACGGGAATACACCAAATCATGGAGTACAAGGTGATATGAGATGGACATCATTCGAGGGCAGGGAAGCTAGCAGCAAGATAAAATTTGAGAAGCGATTGAGAGAAATGGGGAAGGAGCGTTGGGCTAGGAACGTGTTCAGCTATTTGTACATGAGGAATGTTGACACAAAATGGAGGGAGCGAACTAGGAAATTGACTGGTAAATGCTTAGAAAACAGCAGGTGGCCAAACCAAAAAGAACTATCGGTTAAGAAGAAAGTGAAGGAAACGGAGACTGACATGTTGAGAGTTGGCATTATTAAGAAGTCCGCACTAGGGATCTATCGAACTTTTAAGCAGAAAATTGCCAAGGAAAGAATCTATGATAATATTCGGGGTAGTTCTCTACTGTTTGAGGCCAGGATGGGAGTATTGCGAACCAAGACTTATCGGGTCAAATACGAAGGAGTAGACACGGTATGCTGTGCATGTAAAGAGGAGGAAACTGCCGAATATTTGATAATGTTCTGTAAAGGGCTTCACCCTATTAGTGTAGGATGATGGCACAGATGTTTTCAAAGCATTGGGGTTCAGGGACAGGGAGGGCAAAATAAGCTTTAAGCGGGCAGAAATAACTACAAGAAGTAAAGTTCAACACTGTCGAAATTTGGGCTTGTTGGTGCATTGTGACGACAGAAAATAGCGCAAAGAAACGGGGACACAAGACGAGGACACACGGCACAGGCGCTAACTTCCAACATCAATGTTGGAAGTTAGCGCCTGTGCCGTGTGTCCTCGTCTTGTGTCCCCGTTTCTTTGCGCTATTTCCTGTCGTAACTACAAGAAGGTTATCTGATTGGTGGCGGCAATGAAGGCACGAGTGAAAATTAAATCATTCACTGCAAAGTACCAGTCCTTAACTTCACTATTTAATGGAGGAAAAAAAAAAGATGAATCCAGTTTTTGGTTCACTAAGTATTACGACTAGGTGGCGTTATCGGATGCCCGATGTCTCGAGTTAGTGTATATGCTACCTTTAGGTCGCTAAAGGTAGCGTATGCAGTAACTCGAGGCATCGGTTGCATTGCGCGCCACCACAGCACACACCGTAATAAGCGTCATCACCCCGTTTACGTAATAATAATAATAATAATAATAATAATAATAATAATAATAATAATAATAATAATAATAATAATAATAATAATAATAATAATAATAATAATAATAATAATAATAATAATAATAATAATAATAATAATAATAATAATAATAATTTGTCACCCCCCTTGCTACCACTGCTATCCTGTCGCTAAGCTCGCACTTCTCGGAAAAAAAGATGCTTTTCGGCAGTCGATTTGTGAGAGAATAAACGGCGACAGTGATGCTATTCGATGCTTGGAAAATTGAAGACCCCATAGAATGAGGATTTTTTTAAGAGCTCTACTGTTGATTTCGTGACATGTTACTTATTTAAAAGCAAATGAAGATCAAATTTTCATTTTTTCATTCCGAGCCGATTCCTCAAGCCGCACGCCAGTGTGACGACATGGAATTCGAAGCATTTTTTCGTATTGTGGAAAAGCGTATGTCTGATTTGTGTGGCTTTATTGTTGAACATCTTTGTTTCGTGTTATATATATAGAGTTTTACTATTTTCAAAAGTTACCATATAAACATCGATAGCCTACATGAGACGACATCTCTTTCCTGCAGCAACGATATTTGATAGTTTTCTTTTAAATGCAGCCCTTTAGTGGTGGGCTTATGAGAAAAACGATTTGAGCGTTTCCGTGTGTTTAGATAAGAGAGCCCAAGCTCTGAAGCGAGCCGGTACGTGACTGCAAGACCCTAGCCTGGGATCTCCGGAACGACGAAGCTTATAGCAGTTTTGTTTTCTGCCGCGTTTCTGTCCGCTTTCATTCCCTCTCCTTCCCCACGAGCAGCATTCGATCCAGTCGGAGTGGGTGATCTGAGCTGCTTGAAGTGTGCTGCGCTCCTCGGTCAAGAGCCTTCTAGAGTGTAGCCGTCAACTCCGGTTCTCTACGGGATTTTACGAAAACACCTCTCTGCATTTGACTGGCGCTCAGAAGAGCTGGTCTCAAGTTGCTACGACAGCTGCGCAGAAGTGTTTGCTACCATCGTTTAGGTAAGGATGTTTCAGTATATCGGGAATCGCTGTTTAGCTGGGTGAAATTGGCTGGGCAATTTTTCATTTAGTGTAAAGGAGTTGGCTTCTTAAACTGCGGCAGACGTTCCTCTTTGAAGACACCCAATATGGTCTCCCTCCTTTTCTTTTACAACTACCCATTCTGGTGTTGGGGAGTATACCAGTTATTCCTTAAAGGAGCGCCGAAGCAGCCTCCTCTAGTCGAATTTACTGTTAATTCGAAATTCTTACACCTTATAACTTGCCTGCACAAGAGTTAACTTTTCTGCGATACAAACTCATATAATTGTGGCTGAGGTAACGCCCACAGCGAACGCGGCATGGAAGTGACGAGGTTGGTCGAGAAAGAAACGTTTATGAAGTCACCGAAAGCATTTCTGATTTGGTTTGCACCTTCACTTGCTGCTCCGGGAAGTGTCAGTATTGGTAATAGTGAAAAAAAAATTATTTAGAAGAGTACTCAGAGTTGCACTATACAAATGTTCTTGGGTCTCTCTATACTGGTACTTCACTGAAGATGATGCTGCTCGGGCCACCAAGTAGCGTTGAGCGCCTCGGGTAGAGCAACCGAGCAGAAACATAGAGTTCGCAGAGATTCGTAAGGATTCCTAGAGACACTTGCGACACCAAGTTCAGCAGTGGTATTTTACATTCTTTGCTGCGCGCAGTGTTTACGCGGGCTCACCGTGACGACTTCTGCGTGGCATTTGGATGGCACCTACGGTCACATTTCACAAAATTTCTCCACATCAGTGGATGGCTCTAAAGTGGGACACTGCTGTTAAGAGGAAAATATTTAAACTAATGCAAGAGTGCATTCTTGCAGTAATGCAAGAATGCGACCAATCCTGTCTCGAAGTTTGTCGATGTATATGCTCGCCTATAAACTCTGCATGAATGAAACACGTGTTGACTGAAAAGGAGGATTTCACCACCACCATGTTTTGCACATACAAAACAACAACAACAAAGATTTGGCCCTTTGATCAGTGCTTTTGAGTGCTGTGCAGAGAGTTTCGGCTAGGCCCTCGTCGAATTCAGACACGTTGTCACACTGATTGACCCGGAGGACCAGCCTGTATGATTTGCTCGCCGCCATTGTGGAATTCGAGCGTCCAGAGAGCTTTTGCTTGGCTTCAGGTGCTATGTCATCCGAGAAGTTGGGCAAAGAGCTGCAAGCCCTGTACGAATCCTGCTTAGCAGACGGCCTCACGCCAGCCGAGATTCGACACGTTGCACGGCCTTTCGTCTACAGCCAGAAGCGTCGCCGATCGGCCATCGTCTTCACAGCCGTGGTGCTCTTGCTGCTGCTCCTCAGGGAGTCAATCGAGTGGAGGCTCTGCATGTGCGCCAGGCTTCTTATGATTGCCGTGAGTGAGCTTTACATTCATTGACATCGGAACTCCTGCTCACCCTTCGTTTGTTGAATTAGAAGGGTTGCGTTGTATCTGACCACCGGCCATTGAAAGTACAAAAAAAAAAAACATTCTCGAAAACTGAAGACTGGGCGTGTTGGTGAAGCATGACTGTAGATTGTATAGCTCACCAAATCAACGGGACACAAGAAAGATACTCAAAACTACTCACAACTTCTAACCTAACCACTGCCGACGGAGTATCTTTCTTGTGTCCTGTCGATTTGGTGCGCCGTACAATCAGTCTGCAGTCTTCTTCTGCGAAATGGTTCGAACGTGATGTTAAAAGATTCTTTGTAACGAGTGACGTACCATAAGCATGGCGCTACACTTGAGCTGTAAAATTTCCCAAAGTGAAGTATAACGCTTCTCCACCGAAACTTGAGAAGGGGGGGGGGGGAGCGAGGTAGCAATGAACGTTATGTGCAGACAGAGACATTAGGAGTGGGAAGCCAAAAACGACTTAATTAAGAGCCCTTATCTCGAAGGTGGAAGAATAAATATGCGCGGGCAGTCAAGCGTCTCATCTGTGTCGGGAACGCGAAAGCATTTGTCAGTTGAACGCTCGAACCAGCAATTATGTATTTTACAACAAGAATAATTTCCTCGCAGTTGCTACCCTATTGGAACTGGATGCCGTACCACTACGCAACCTGTCTGGTCAATAATCCTTTCTTCAATGCCAGCACCATCAGCATCTCTGACTGTCAGGTATACACCAGAGGTGGATTTGACAGGGGAAGTGTACATTCTTGTAATGGTTTTACACAACATTGATGAATGTAAAAACGTTATAAATTGTATGACAGATCATTACTCCGGGCTGAGGCATCCCATGCAATAGGATATCAAGGACTTGCCTCTCCGCCGCTTCACGGACCTGACGAACTGGCCAGAATTGGCCGATCGCAGCAAACTATATCAGAGGTTTTCATTAATTTCTACAAATAAAATATTTTCATAGAGACAACAATATATGTTTAATATGCTACATCCCTTTGTGAACATTGGTTAGAACACCTCTGCCTTTCTCTCTGGCAGGTAACACTGTGGATGAAAGAAATCAAGGTATATCATTAGGATATGCCACTGATATGCCACATAGAATCAGCCGCTGAGGCCCTCAGTCCCCAACGGCTTCGAAGCGAGTGACCAAGGCCGTGGTCAGACCTGTGATGCAGCGGATGCTAAAAATCACCAACATGCACAGGACCGGGTGGACTGGTGGAACAAAGACATCGGAGAGGCCTTTGCCCTGACATGGGTCTAGTCAGGCTTATGATGATGATTCGTAACTTATGCCGGGGGCCTTGTCCCTCAGTCCTGCTCTACTTATTTCTTTTTCTTCTTTTCATTCTTCCTGCCTTTCTGCATGTGATACCATGGATGACCCAGCGGGCAAGATGTTCGCCTTCGAATTGTGGGCAAGCGCGCCCGAATACCGCCTCACGAAATTTTTAGGGACGAAGCTCCTTCGGCCATTGGTTGTTCCCTCCTCCGTACGTATACAGTATCGCGTATCCAGCGGCCGTGGTTGTATGTAGCCACATCAAGTTTATGACTTGCTCAATAGATGGTGCTGTGTGTATATGTTCCTGGGAATAATATAACTACATGGCACTTGTGGTTTTCACCGCGAATTCACGGAGTGAATGATGATGAGTTTGTCTAAGCGTCATTCCGTCCGTACGTGTGTCCAACCGTCCGTTAGCCCGTCCATCAATCCGTCCATGCTTTCATCTGTCCTTTCGTCCGTCCGTTTGTCGGTATGTCTGTTCGTGAATGCTTCCGTCCATCTGTCCCTCTGTCCGTCCACCCGTCCGTCCGTATGTCCGTTCGTTCGTGCTTCCATCCGTCCGTGCCCCTATTCGTCCGTCCGCACGCACGGATGGATGAACACACGGACACACGGATGGACGCTTCACCTCACTCATCATCATTTACTTCGCGGATATGCTGCAATTTTTTTTCTGTCAGAATTTCTCTGTTCTTTCTTTTTCTCTCTCTGTGTTCAACGATTTCGCCTTGCATACTGCAGTGGTGAAATCGGCGCATTTTTTTTTTCTGGGAGCGAATAAATAGAAAAAAGGCCGCGATGGTAATGGAGAAGAAGTCGAAGAAAGCACTCGCTGGCTCACGCTAATTTCTGTTCAAGGTATACAGCGACTATGCTGTCTGCTTTGAACGGGGGGAAAATTGCTGCACTATTTCCGTTTTACGCACGTTGTTTCCTTTCGCTTATCGATATTCATTATATACTGAAAAAGTGTCACCAAATTATATAGTTTATTCCTGGCCAACCCCCCCCCCCCCCCCTATGAGTGGTTATCAGCAATGTTTGAGGCATCATCATCATCATCATCACCAGTTCATGATGATGATGATGATAGTTTTCTGTTCGTGGGTCCAACGGTTGCCTTGACCAGCTCCGCTGTTAAAACCTCACACAAGTAAAAAAAAGAAAGCAGTCGATAGGTAATTAGTGTCGTTCACAAGGGTCTGTAGATCGCAAGAAGTGCAGTATAGCGATTGGCCTTCTTCTGCGACGTCCTGTCGATGACGCGTAGAATTTTTACTTCCTACAGAGGTCAGCAGCGCAGCATGTCGAGCGCGTTGCAGAAGGCTCCGTGCGCTGTACTTCGGGCAGTCATAACATAGCATGCTCCGTTGTTCCTCTCACAATCTTTGTTTCGTGGCATCAGTATAGCGTAGCTAGAACATTTTTTCGGGCGGAGGCTCAAGCATCGTTTCGAACGCATGTTCGAGCGTGTGCAAATGTGAAATTGGAAGACCGCGACAGAAACTTCAGCCCCCCCCCCCCCCCCCCCGTGACCACGACTGTGCATGGTATGCCTCTGGATTATTTTTCTGAACGGCTGCAAGCAAAACGAGGTCACTACAAAATTTTAATGCACATAACGCATGTTCAGTTGGCCTCCAAAATCTCGACAGCTCTTTCATATACACTAACTTCCACAGTGTCATTCGTAACTATCCTCGCTTCACTTGAGGATGACCAGTTCCAGCGAATGCTTTTATTGAATATGAAAAAGGGCGAGGAAAAAGCTGCAGTTCAATAGCCTATGCCTCCTAAAAATGACAAGGCGGACAAGCAGAACATGCAAGAAGATGAAAACAAAAAAGTTTACAGTGAAAAAGTCGCCTTTCCTTTTCCAAAAATAGAAAAAAAATTGAAGGCGTATTTACATGAAGCAAAACCTGAGCACACGCGAAATAAATGAGACTTACCCTAAATGTAAGTAAACTAATTAACGAGTTAATTTATAAAGTATGTTGCGCACATTTATCAACGTAGCCAAATCGCAGCATGCTAAATAGAAATATTATGCGAACAACAATGGTGCAGGTGTGTGAAGATCTGCGTGGCGTGGCGAGGGCGGATGGTTTCGAGCCACAAGCATTGCTTGAAGATTTCGTGGACAACCTGGTGCCTCTCGTGGTCAGGGAAGACATGAGCCGCTGGCCCTCCGCGGCGACATCTTTCTCAATCACCAACGTCACGCAGGTGAATAATAATAATAATAATAATATAATAATAATAATAATAATAATAATAATAATAATAATAATAATAATAATAATAATAATAATAATAATAATAATAATAATAATAATAATTAGGGGCTTAAAACCACCCTTATAATGTGGCCCAGATGGCACCTCTTCCGCCATACGAGAGGATTATGGTAGTATATTTACCTAAGGACTGACTGCGTTATATAATAATTGTCTGAATAGTTCCACATTTCTCAGCATGTGGAAAACTGCGCGTGTTTTTCAACTCAACTGATGTTTCTAATTATCACCCGATTTCTCTACTGTGTGCCATATCGAAGATCTTTGTTCTGGCTCTTCACAACATATTTTATGTTAGCGTGGATAATTCAGTGATTCCTAATCAACAGGGGTTTCTTCCAGGCCACTCAACTACCACAAATCTTGCTAGTTTCACGCTGCAAATCTCCTCTCCCATATTTAAGAGAGGACAGGTAGATGTAGTCTACTGTGACCTGAGCAAGGATTTTAACGTAGTCAGCCACACACTGTTTTCAGCAAAACTTGCAAATTTCGATGTTGACTTGTCTGTTGTGAATCTCCCGCGCAGCTGCATAAAAGATCATGCTATGCTGCCGTAAATTGCGAGACGTATTCCTTGTACAAAGTGACTAGTGTGGTCCCTCAAGGGTCGGTGTTGGGCCCAGTCTTACTTTTAATTTACGTTAACGACGTTTTTTTTTTGCAATATGTTATTCATATTTTCTCTTGAATGCCGATGACATCAAAATACTTAAGGAAATTAATAACTTAACGACTGTCACTTGCTGCAGTCAGGTTTGTGTTTTTTTTCTGAATGGTGAAACAATAATAACATTTCCCTGAATGCATGAAAGACCAAGTTCATGAATATATTGCGCAAAACACCTATTGTTGTGATTTCCATACATTGTCAATACAATGTCAACATTTAAGGTTGATGAGTTCAGTGATGTTGGTGTTCTTTGTAATAGCATGCTCAATTTTTCTGCTCATACTAAACGTCTTGCCACGCGAGGCCTTCGTTCTCTCTGCTGTGTTTGCAGAATCTCTCGATAATTCAGTTCTCCTACAGCCTTCCAGAAATTGTACACCGATATATTGCGGTGTACTATTTCTGGAAGGCTGTAGGAGCACTGAATTATCGAGAGATTCTGCAAACACAGCCGAGAGAACGAAGGATTTGCGTGTCAGGACGTTTAGTGCGAGAAGAAAAATTGAGCATGCTATTAATATGTCTTCCTACACTTAAGTATGCATCAGTTGTCTGGAGTGGCATCGCTAAATTTGGCAGTGACGCCATTGAATGAGTCCAGAAAGAATTCGTAAGCATTTACCATAACCGTTTCGCTAGAAATGATACTGGTTTTCGTTTCAGCTCTGGCAGATTATTATCATTGCCATCACTTCCCTGCCGACGAAATCGCGCTGACCTATTATTTCTTTACAAAGTAGTTCACGGAATGATATCCTGCCCTTTACTTATTCGTTGTGTAAGTTTTTGGATTCCGCGTAAGTTAACCAGAGAGAATCGACCATTTCTTTCCCTGCCAACTTCTTTCAGCACTGTATACACTATTCACAGAATACATTGTATTTATAATGTTAACTTTCATGGTCTTGATGTTTTTCACAGTCCCCCGCCCTATCATTTTTTTTTGCCTCAGCTCTGCACTGGCTTCGATTGGTTTTTCTCAATGTACAGTCTTCTTTTTTCCGTCTTTCAAGAAGGTTTCAACATAGTTGTGTATTCTCCCCATTACTTTTCGCTTTCTTTCCATGATTCTCGTATAGTATTTTTATGTCTGTATTGTATTGTTTTATTTTAAATGCGGAGCATCTCTTAGTTGCACGATGTCACGCGTTTGCGTTGTCTGCACACCCATGGTGCATGCACGCACCTCGCGTATTGTGCCGAATGCTTGCATCTCGTGCCAACTGTTTGCTCCTGTTCGAATGCGGAAAACGTCGCAAACCAGAAAATGACGCATTGGAAAGAAGGTGATGGACACTAAGGTAGTTTGTTTTGATCAATTCGCTCGCAACGACCTAATTCTCCTCTGTTAGTACACCATTATTCAACCTGTGTGCATTCTTATCAATATTTGGGCTTCTCCAAGCGCGGAGTATGGTTTCGTTTACATAAGAAAGTGCTTTAGGAAGTTTGTTGCGCAATGCGTGTGAGAGCACATGCTTGTTTTTTGCGCAACTTGTAGTGGTACCCATTGTCAAATCAAGCAGCTGTATAGTCAAGCAACTACCTGGTGCCGACCTGTTGAGGTGTCATCGTAAGGATAGACAGTTACAGGTGGCACTTTTCCTTTTATAACCACTTAGAGAGAGAGAGAGAGAGAGAGAGAGAGAGAGAGAGAGAGAGAGAGAGAGAGAGAGATAGCGGGGGGGGGGGGCTCCGGAAATTTCGATCACCTGCGGTTCTTTGAAATGCCCCCAAATTTGAGCACACGGGTCCACAGCATTTTCACCTCCACCGAAAATGCAGCCGCCTCAGCCGGGATTATCCCGCGACCTACGGGTCAGCAGCCAAGTGCCTTAGCCACGAGACCACCGCGGCGGAGTAATCAGGAAACTTCAGCGCAGCTCCTCGCGTAAGTGCCGCCAGCGTTGCCAGCACACGGAGCGCTTATTGAAGAGTTGCGATACTGTTCAGCGTGGCTGCACCCACGTGACGCTTGGTGGTACATTTCCACCCAGAGCTAGGACCGATGTCCATGGTAAATAATTATACAAACACTTGTAGTATAGCTGTCATTGATGAGATCGTAAACGTGGTGTGACACCATGCAAGGCCTGTTGTAGTGGTAAACACAACGCCCGTCGTGGTCGTCCGGATGGGCGCTGCGAGGCTGACAAGCTAAGATAGACAGTCCCTGAATATCGTGTAGATACTTTAGAGAGAACTCTGTCTGGAGTTAGTGCCTATGAGAGCTGCAACGCGCTGTGCGTCAGCCAGCATAGGAATGATGGGTAGTACACGGATTTGTCTAATCTTTGTTCTTCCAGCTCTGTTTGTCTCCCTGTGCCCTGAACCCGCTTTGCTACGAGACGAAATTCACCAGTACCTGGACATTTTTAGGCTCACAAATTCTACTCAACTCACCAAGTTCACAACCGTCCGTCCTTTTATTCGAAACAAAACTATAACACAACAATAAACAAAACCGCATGTGTGTTCGAATCCGGCAAGTATGAAGACTATAATCCGTGTACAAGCCATCATTCCCATGGACGGTGGCTAAACGATCGCCGCGCCAGAGTTTAGGAAACTCTACGAAGGTAGCCGCCTAGAGGTCTGTTCTGGCGTTGACAAAATTGGAGCTCTACGAGTACATACTGGAAACGCGCCAAATGGGACGGATGCACAGCAACGACGGACTGCAGGTGTGCATTGCGGAGGCCGCAGTCATGATATATTGTTTCACTTTCCACTACCAGAGGAAGTGCCACCTCACCGACCAAAGCACTGACAGAGAAAAATGTGAGATTATAAGGCGCATTTGGTAAGCCTCCAGAGAGTGTGGTCCTGCATGGTATGTGGCAAATCTGAAATGCATTTCACAATGCGCATGTCGAAGTGAGTTCTGAGCGAGAAAATGTTTGCGCGTGAGTGTGTAGTTTTCTCCAAGCGCTGAAAGGGTAGAAGGATATACCGGAGTGGATTTCGAAAGTGGAATTATTGTTACGCACACCAAATATTTTCTAAGTAGCCACTTCAGAGCTGACGGTTCATCACTGCCCTTTGTGAATATAGTTCCGATGCTTTTCTCTTATATTTTGGCGTGTATGTGAACATCCTTGACATGCAAGGCAGTAAAAAGAGAAAGTCATCGTGGCGCAGCGAGTAACATGCCCGGCATCTCTTCTCGCGGACCGAGAGGTCATAGGTTCGACTCCCGTTGTAGGACCTTTTTCTTTGCCATCTCATCCTGTTAATTTTTGCGACGTCTTTTCCCTGGCGGAAATACGTCACTGAAGTCTTGGTGGACCTCGACATAAAGCACTTTCGGGTTAATAAATTTTTATAGGTTCTCTTATGCTTCAGATGACTTGAATTAAGAAAAAAAGTCTTCATCGCTATCGTCGTCATCACCGGGGGCTTGAGAGGACGTACCGCGAGCCGCATTTCCAGTTTTCAAGGCCAGCGTCCTTGTTGATGAAGGCTAGCGATGAACGAAGAGGTTCGTAATGGTTTGGTAGCTTCCAAGAAGCCGTTGGTTACGCAGTCCACGTGATGTGCCAATAAAAACCAAAATAGCAATATAATAACATGTCGGGTTGCACAGCCACCCAATTCTTTAGCTACCCTGTGCGAGCGCCAACTTTTTTGTGCGTCAGTGCCGTACGACAGAGCCAAGATGCAAACAGGGCGATAGTAAGCGCGTGCCTAGGAAGCACGCTCAGCTGTGCCCATCGTCTGCTTGGCCGTTGCTTCGTGAGAACATCATCCTGCATTCACTCATTTCAGACAAACATGGCTGCACGTTTTGCTCGAATCTTATATTTCGGAGATCAACAAGCAACCGATAAAATAAAATCGGTGTATACGTCACACACCCCCTCGCACGAGATAAGCGGACAAATGTGGATCGTCTGAAGTGAGTGAATGCAGGACGATGTTCACACGAAGGAACGGCTACGCAGACGATGGACCCAAATGAGCGCGTTTCGTGGGCATGCGTTCACTCTCACCTTGTCTGCAACTTGGCTCAGTTGGGCGGACCTGACGCACAAAGAAGTCGGTGCTCGCGCACGATAGCCAAAGATTTGGGCGCCTGCACGTTTCCAAAACCACGATATTATTACGGAGACGCCGTGGTGAAAGGCTTCGGAAATTTCTACCACCTGGGGTTCTTCAACATGTATTGACATCGCACAGTACTAGGGCCTTTGCCATTTTGCCTCCATCGAAATGTGATCGCCGGAATCGAACCCGTGACCTTCGGTTAGCAGCAG